ACATTTTAAAAATTGAATGGTTAAAATTCTGTATTGTGTTGGTGCAATATAAATCTATATTCATGTATCTTTCCAGTAGCTGTGATACATTGCCTTTCTGCTACTTATACTTCTAGAACTACATATATGCAACTGCAAACAGAATACACCCAATGCGTATTTGCCCCCAAAATAAAACTGTATGTGGAAAGGAGCTCATCTGTGTCTGTATAATGCCAAAGGGACTCCAACTTATGTATTTTTGTACACCGTGCTGGTGAATGGAGAGAAATCACGTCAGAGCCTGGGATAGCTCAAAAACCTGAGCACTTTAGGAAAGAAATGCAATCTGCAGAGTCTTCCATATGGTCCTATCACCGAGTTAACATGAAAAAGGTGTTGAGGCCACATGGTGCATCATTTTCGAGTGTGGACAAAACTAGAGGACATTCAGATAGTCAAATATTTTGCTACATTAAAAGCAAGTAAACCATCTGTCCAGGTAGTTAGTAAATTAGGATTTTACATAACTCTCCTATAACATATTAATTTATTAAATGCAAGGAACAATTTATCTGGAGTTTTAAAATGATGTCTCGGAGTCATGCAGTCCGAAGAAGACACCTCAGGCCCAATTTATACATGAAGCTGAATGAAATGGTACAATGGTTGTGGCATTGATTTTTGAAAGTCTAGAATAAAAGGACTGAGCTAAAAGTTTTCTTCCTGAGCTAAAGTCAACCCTCCATATCTACAGACTCTGTATCCATGGGTTCAGCCATTTTGTAATTGCATCATATGTGTATTTACTAGAGTCTAATGCACCATCGAACCCTGTTTGGCACTGCTAGATGGCCACCCATACCATCCCCTTCCATTCTCTTTAGCACATCAGTCTCTGCCTGCAACATTGGTCCTACCAGTCAGGCATTGCCTGGAGTGGTGTTGACCTGGGCAACAATGGAGGTCTCTCCTCTTTCTCTCCCTCCCTTCCCTGATCAGTCCATCACCTCAACCAACATCATTGCAGTTAATAGCTGACTCATAGGACCCATGTTGCAACTAGAGACCTCTGTTATACAGAGAATAGGAGGGGATGGTCAATAGTACCGTCTCATCTTGAAACTGGCTCAACTGCCAAACTCAGGGGATTGTCAAAATTCATCCCTGAATTCAGACTATCCTCTGACTTTGGTTAAAGCTGGTCAAGGGCACATTAAGGGGACAATGTCTCGCATCACTCCAGATCAGCTCCATGCAGTTTTTTGCTGCCATGGAGTTGATCCGGGGCTCTTTTGCATTAGGTGATCAGTATAGATGTGCCCCATGTCTCAAGGAACTCCTCCATAGAAATTATTATATCTATAGCTAAAAAGGGGGAAGGGGCAATCAGTCACATGCTTTTATGGAATCCCTAGAAAATTCTGCTTACGAAACCCTGCTGTACACTGTAAAATGAAGGCAGTTCGACACCAATTTGATTGACATGGCTCCATGAGGGTTGTAGTTTGGTGATGTACCTGCACTATTTGGCAGCGAAGGCTATAAGCCTTGCAAAACTACAACTCCCATATTTCCATAGCAATTAAAGTGGTATAAAACTGCATTAATTCTACTATATAAATACACTCCGAGTCTCAAATGCCTTTTGGAGCTATAGTCTCCAGAATCGCCACAGCTGAATTGAACTGTGTCTATGATTGGTAGAGGGTTTCTGGGATTTGGAGACAACAATAACTTCTAATCTCTGCCGAGGTTCCCCTAGCCACATGAATTGGAAGTTCCCCAATCCTTGTAGGTTTTGATATCTGAGCAAAGCCAGGATTGCCAATGCTGTTTCTTTCAAAATGGTTTTAGAAAGCATTAAAAAATAAAGAAGCTGAGTACACATGGAACAGCAATGGCGAAAACCTTCCAGCGCTGTTAGTCTGAACTAATCTGACACCAGCCTCTCTCCCCTGTCATGTTTCAAAAAGTGGAGCGCAAGGAGACAATGTTGTACATTCTTTGGCAATCGGAAGATCAGATAGAAGACGCAAGCAATACAACAAGGATGTGTAATCTGACATGATTAGACAAGGCTCTTTAGGAACAGAACATTCATAATTGAGACAAAAGAAAAGAGTATTAATAACACTTTTCTAACGCGGCAGTTAGCCATTTTATATTTCCTTTCTTTAATCTTAGTGTTTTTCAACAAATCATGGGATTTAATAGCGTGTTTTGGCAGATTAGAGGATTTATGGCCCAGATGTTTTTTGTTCTAAAAATGGATTAGGGTGTAAAGTTTGCTGGAATCCATGGAACATGTTGAGGCAAGCCGGTCATTTTGCGTGTGATTAGTGCCAGCCGTCTGTCTCACGGCCCCTCCATCTGTTACAATTCACCAATGGATCTGGTTAGATTTAGCCTCATGTCACAAACAGAAGCCCCTTTTCCGGGCAATTTCATATTGCAGTTTTCAGGGCTCAGAACAAAATGCCGCGTCAATGCCCTAGTTTAAAAAATATGGAGAATGCAACCAAGGGAAGGGGAGGAAGATAACTTTGAGAGATGATCAATATGAGTTCCTTTCGCCTAAATAGATCCAGAGTTTTAACCAAGCTGTAAAAACACTGGATCCTAATATAACCTATGAGAAAGCAGGCTGAAGCTGTAGCAGGAGTGAATGAGAAGGGTGAGGAAAGGTTTAAAATGGGTAATGAATGTAAAAGTGAATGGTTTCAGATGCTATTGCAGCTAAAGCTTAGGCAGTGTTGTGTTGTGTGTTTGCAAGCATGTGCCCTTTAGCCAAGGAGAGAACATCTGACCCGGCATTAACAGATTGGGAATCAGTCTAAAGTCTGTGGCTGTGTGGTTCCTTATGTATCTCTAAATGACAGGTGGCGTGGAGAGGAGTGTGTGTGTGTATGTGCGCATGTGTGTGTCAATCGGAAACTGACATTCTATGGCAGAGCTTTATGCGCTCCGCCACCATAGCTCATAGCAAAGCAACGCCACCTGTGCTTTATTAAGGTACTTAAGAGGTTGGAGGATGGGGAGCAAGATAGTCCTGTTCTTCCAACCACCATTACGGCAATTAATAAGCCGGCCTATCTGCTCAAGGAAATGTAATTATGTTTCCACAATTTACTGTACAGCTTTTTTTAAAAAAAAATTAATACAGTGCTGCTGCTCCTCAAGTGCAATGTAGTGCTATGTGCAGGGCAAGACTAACATGGTTCCTATCCAATAGATTTATAGGGTCCAAAATGAGTAAGTGTTGTATACAGGTCAATCTATACCATAGAATTAGCACAGTTTGGCACTACTTTAACTGTCATAGCTCAATGCTGTGGAACCTTGAGTTTTCCCCTTGTGACCATGCCAAAATACGCACTTTCCTTTGCATGTTTTCCTAATAAAGAAAGTCATACTATGTATTGTCGAAGGCTTTCATGGCTGGAATCACTGGGTTGTTGTAGGTTTCTTTGGGATATATGGCCATGTTCTAAAGGCATTTTCTCCTGACGTTTCGCCTGCATCTAAGACCTCACTATCTCTGAGGATGCTTGCCATAGATGCAGGCAAAACGTCAGGAGAAAATGCTTTTAGAACATAGCCATATATCCCGAAAAAACCTACAACAACCCAAAGTCATACTATTTCACTTTCAGACACCATATTTTGAAGAATATGAACAAAATCTTGAGATATTTTTAAATGAGAGATCCAGGAAGGGTATTGGTAGCTTTTTGGGGAGGTGGCCTACATTTACTCCCAAAACATCCCATTTTAAAAAATATGGAAGTTAGGGGCATTGGGGGCTGGTGTGGGACACATTCTGGCAACCATGAAATATGGGAGCCTTTTGTGATCCATGAATGGCACTTTCTCCATCCATGTACCACAAGAAGGGGGATATGGCTATCGACTCATGCTTTGTTGTAGAGCCGCAGTAGCGCAATGGGTTAAGCCCTTGTGCCGGCTGAACTGCTGATCTGAAGGTCAGCAGCTTGAATCCGCAGGAAGGATGAGCTCCTGTCTGTCAGCTCCAGCTTCTCATGCGGGGACATGAGAGAAGTATCCAACAGAATGGTAACACATCTGGGCATCCCCTGGGCAATGTCTCTGCAAACAGCCAATTCTCTCACACCATAAGCAACTTGCAGTTTCTCAAGTCGCTTCTGACACAATTAAAAATGTTTTGTTATGAAAGTGAAATCAAACGTATTCTTTGTACTCTGAACCAGAGATTTGTATCATTAAGATTTTTTTCAGAATAGTTTAAGTGTAATTACTGTAATTACCTTAGACAAATAGGAAAATAAGATTTTTTTAAGCAACCAACTGCTGTGAGGCTTATAGAAATAACGCTAACTATTTTTAAAGGAACCTTTGAAGCTCTGATTTGTTTATTTTAATTACCTTCATAAATGGGAAATATAAAAATGTATTTTTTTTAAAAAAATAATAACAGTAACTAACTGCTGTGATACTTAGAATAATATAAGTAACTATTTTTAAAGTAACTTTTGAAGCTCTGCCCCAACAGGGTGTTGATCTGCTTTCTGAAAAAAATAATTTTGAGTCATGATGCTCAATATGCAGAATAATTGTGGCTCTTTGCCAAAATTAGGGACATGGATTGGCCTTCAATTTTGTGTTGTGAATGTGAAGCAGTAAACAACATGATTGTGATATTGATCAAGAAAAGGGAAATACATAGAATCATAGAGTTGGAAGAGACCTCAAGGGCCATCCAGTCCAACCCCCTGCCATGCACAAACTAACACTCACAAACTCACAAACATGTAGCCTTTTTTTTAGGCTGTTGGGAAGAATGAAATACAAATGCATGTGTTTGTACAAAACGAGGATTTATCCTTCGTAATGTTCAAGGTACCAACAGCTGACGAATTTGCTTGTTGCCCAGTATCCATCAGAGAAAGCATTGAAGTGTTTTGATTATAATAGCTCGTAATGATTCCTGGTAACCTTGCTTCTGTTTGTGTCCTCTCTCCCTTTCACCTTCTTTCTAGATATCCTTTCCTCCATCACGTCATCAGGTTACTTAAATGATCATGATGCTGTTACCAAGGCAATCCAAGAGGCTCGGCAGATGAAAGAACAGCTACGGCGGGAGCAACAGGTCCTGGATGGGAAGGTTGCTGTCGCAAACAACCTGGGTCTAAATAACTGCAGGACAGACAAGGTCAGTCCCTGGCTAGGTGATGATTGGGTTAGCGCAGTGGTTCTCAACCCTCAGATGTTTTGGCCTTCAACTCCCAGAAATCCTAACAGCTGGTAAACTGGCTTGGATTTCTTGGAGTTGTAGGCCAAATCACTTGGGGATCCACAGGTTGAGAACCACTGGGTTAGCTATTGGCAGTTTGGTTCCAGGAATCATGTCACAGTTTTCCGCTGTCAGTTCCAGCTTTTAATTTTGGTGTCGTTGGAAGAAAATGTATCTTTCACCAGTCATGGATTCGCTATTATAGTCAGTCCTCTCTATGTACAGATTCTGCATCAACAGATTCAACCAACCACAGCTTGAATATACAGTCGGTCTGAATTCTCTGTAGTTAGGGATACACAACTTCCTGGAGAGCATCTCTTTAGGAATTTCTAAGCTCTCTAGCACAGGCATGGACAAACTTCGGCCCTCCATTAATGACTTAGATGAAGGGTTAGAAGGCATGATAATCAAGTTTGCAGACAGGAGAAGAATTCAAAACGATCTTAACAGATTAGAGAGATGGGCCAAAACTAACAAAATGAAGTTCAACAGGAACAAATGCAAGATACTCCACTTAGGCAGAAAAAAACGAAATGCAAAGATAAAGAATGGGGGACGATGCCTGGCTCGAGAGCAGTACGTGTGAAAAAGATCTTGGAGTCCTCATGGACAACAAGTTAAACATGAGCCAACAATGTGATGTGGTGGCAAAAAAAGCCAATGGGATTTTGGCCTCCATCGATAGGAGCATAGTGTCTAGATCTAGGAAAGACTTGCTACCCCTCTATTCTGCTCTGGTTAGACCACAACTGGAATATTGAGTCCTATTCTGGGCACCACAATTGAAGAGAGATATTGTCAAGCTGGAATGTGTCCAGAGGAGGGCAACTAAAATGATAAAGGGTCTGGAGAACAAGCCCTATGAGAAGTGGCATAAAGAGCTAGGCATATTTAGCCTGAAGAAGAGAAGGCTGTGAGGAGACATGATAGCCATGTATAAATATGTGAGAAGTCATATGTGAGAGGAAGTCATAGGGAGGAGGGAGCAAACTTGTTTTCAGCTGCCCTGGAGACTAGGACGCAAAATAATGGCTTCAAACTACAAGAAATTCCATCTGAACATTAGGAAGAACTTCCTGTTTGTGAGAGCTGTTCAGTAGTGGAACTCTCTGCCCTGGAGTGTGGTAGAAGCTCATTCTTTGGAAGCTTTTAAACAGAGGCTGGATGGCCATCTGTCGGGGGTGTTTTGAATGCAATCCTGTCCAACCCCTGCTTCTTGGCAAGGGGTTGGACTGGATGGCCCATGAGGTCTCTTCCAACTCTATCATCTATGATTCCAGGTGTTTTGGACTTCAACTCCCACAATTCCTAACAGCCTACTGGCTGTTAGGAATTGTGGAAGTTGAAGTCCAAAACACCTCGAGGGCTGAAGTTTGACCATTCCAGGTGTAGTGAGTGAGTGTCCACAAAATTTGGTATCCATGGGAGGTCCTGGAAGCAGATCTCAACAGATCCTGAGAGCTCACTGTATGCTAAAATTTTACAGCAGAGGCCCAAACTGAACTGGATATTCTTCTCAGTGAAATACTTTATGGGTTTTTCCCTGGTTCTCATAGTGCCATAATGTACGTTATGCAACATCAAGGCTGCAACAGCAGCATTCAGCTGTGACAGTTTCTTTAAAAATAAAAAGTCCACCCACAAACTTAAAAGATGGTAAAGAATAAGCCCTATTAAGCCCCTTTGAAGGAGGGAGAGGAGGGAGGGGAGGCATAGCAAGAAGTCTAATGCTCCATTTCAGGCTGTCGATATATATTATGCTTGGGTCATTCTTGTAGTATCTGGATCCAAGTAAAAAATCCTTATTTTTTTAAAAAAGAAATGCTTACATGTGTGGGGGAGATGAGCTGGATTTGGAAATTGTATTGAGGTTCCTCCAGGAGCAAAAGCTTTTGCGGTTATTGGAGCTAAGCTTCTGATGATGGGTGCTTCATGAGGTTATCACACGTGTCCTGTACCCACGCCAGTGTTTCTGTGCCAACTCATGTTAGATGACTCAGCAAACAAGGAAAGGCATTAAGAATTAAGATGTATTTATGGAATTTACTACCACTGGATAGCTGCTAGTTTAAGTAGGTTTGAAAAAAGAGATTAGACAAATTCTTGAAGGATAAGCCTATCAATGGCTTCTAGAGATGTGCAAGGGATTCAGTCAGTCCATATTTCAATGTGAATTTGTCAAATGTACACTTCCTCAACCTATGCATGAAGTAGAATGCAGTTTGCGCCCAAATCTGAACATTTCCAAACCTTTTCATAGAATCATAGAATCAAAGAGTTGGAAGAGACTTCATGGGCCATCCAGTCCAACCCTGCCAAGAAGCAGGAATATTGCATTTAAATCACCCCTGACAGATGGCCATCCAGCCTCTGTTTAAAAGCTTCCAAAGAAGGAGCCTCCACACACACTCCGGGGCAGAGAGTTCCACTGCTGAATGGCTCTCACAGTCAGGAAGTTCTTCCTCATGTTCAGGAATCTCCTCTCTTGTAGTTTGAAGCCATTGTTCCGCGTCCTAGTCTCCAAGGAAGCAGAAAACAAGCTTGCTCCCTCCTCCCTGTAGGCTTCCTCTCACATATTTATACATGGCTATCATATCTCCTCTCAGCCTTCTCTTCTTCAGGCTAAACATGCCCAGCTCCTTAAGCCGCTCCTCATAGGGCTTGTTCTCCAGACCCTTGGTCATTTTAGTCACCCTCCTCTGGACACATTCCAGCATGTCAATATCTCTCCTTTAATGCATTGCACACACAAAAAGAAAATGTGTAGGAACTACCCATTCAATCTAATGGCTGAAAAAAGTTTTGCCTTTCAGTCAAGGCTTGAAGTAGTTAATTCAGTCCCAACAAAGATAATTTTTCCATAAGAAGGGATAGCATATCCAGGAGTCTGTACTTTCCATCAGTTTTCTTGCATCTTTGTACTCCCCTGCAACATTTTCACAGCACTGGCTTTTCTGCCCCTTGCTGAGTGTGTGAATAGGCTTACTGCTGCCTTTCCCTGCCAGTTTCTGAACATTGGAAATGGAGGTCTGTCATCTGGTGGGGGGGGGGGGGGGGGGGGGGGGGAGAGAAACAACCTATAAGTACACTTATGAGAAAATCCTATTTCTGTAACATACAACTTGAGACTTATGCATGCTATGTATCTTTTGTTCATTGTTCAAAGTTTGAGGTGCCTATCAAATGGAAAAAAATGGCTTATGGAATGGGAAGATGTCATTGGAGATTGGCATAGAGTTGATGTAGAAGATTTTCCCCAGCATCTAAAAACCCATCAACTCTGTTCATAAGTGTCAATGAACTTTGGGGTTCAGTAAACTGTAACCACTCTGTGTTCACCTCCCGTTTGAGTGTGTTCATTATAATAAAAAATATATATATTTCTATACCGCTCTATCTCCCCGAGGGGGACTCAGGATGGTTTCCAAGCAACATCACCAAAACATACAGAGTAAACAGCATAACATAAAATTAACAAAACAACATAAGCATAAAATTATCACAATAACAAATATATATTAAAAATAATCCTGCCTTTTCAGAGCAATTAAAAGGCTAGGCCAAGGCTAGTCCAAACTCAAAATATGAGGGGACCGGGAATTAAGTACAGTGCTATAGCAGGCTAACAGCAACAGCAGTTACAGGTTTGTTGCTGCTCATTTCCAGGGCCTATTAGAGAGATGACTAGGGTAATATGTAGGAAATAAAAGGTCATATTCAACAATGTTTGGGGCTGTGCTAGAGCTGGTCATTCTCAAAGGCTTGTTGAAACCACCAGGTCTTCAAGCTCTTATGGAAGGAGGGGAGGAATGGGGCCTGTCTTATTTCCCTTGGAAGGGCGTTCCAGAGGTGGGGGGCCACCACTGAGAAGGCCCTCTCTCTCATCTCCACCAACCATACTTGTGACAGTGGTGGGAGCAAAAGGAGGGCCTCCCCGGAAGATCTTAGAGTTTATAGAAGGAGATGCGATCACAAAGATAGGCGGGGACTGAACTTTTTAGGGCTTTATAGGTCATAACCTGCACCTTGAATTAAATGTCTATCATCTTTCAATGTGAATTTGTCAAATGTACACTTTCTCAACCTATGCACGAAGTAGAATGCAGTTTGCGCCCAAATCTGAACATTTCCAAACCTTTTTAATGCATTGCACACACAAAAAGAAAATGTGTAGGAACTACCCATTCAATCTAATGGCTGAAAAATGTTTTGCCTTTCAGTCAAGTCTGGAAGTAGTTAATTCAGTCCCAATTGTCTATTGTCTACCAATTGTCTATCTGTCTTCGACAAAAGACAAGATTCAAGGCTGGCTCAGGACTTTTTTTTGTCCAAAGTGTTGACTAGGATGATGTTCGCGTCCCACCCTATATGTAAAAACAAACTGAACTGGCAGCTAAATTGTTCTCCAGATATGGTGATGGAATAGGGTCTTCCTGCCCTCTTCTGCCTGGTGTAATCCTGCTTGTTGAAAAAATTCTGGGATTAAATTGGATTTAAACCAAAGTAAATGAGCTACTGGGAACTAACTCATTTTTCAAACAAGTTACTTTGGCAATTAGTCATGTCGTGCAGTAATGAGCTATATTTCAGCTCTTTCTTGCTTATAAGAGCTGTGACTGTAATTCACTGTTTTTGTAATTCACTATTTTCAATAGAACAGGAAGAGACTGTCTGTTATTCATTGTGGAGTATATGTACTCACTCATTCTGAGAAATGGAGGTGGCAAGAACAAGAGTAAGCTGAGGTAGCTCTGAGATGCAACCAGAAGGATTGCTCTATAATGTCATTTGCATTTTTATCAAAATGTATAAGGTATAATATCTTAATTGGCATTTCACTGTATTGTCCAATAACACAATAATAACAACAGAAAGGGTAAACTCTTAATAGTGAGTAAGTTGGTGAATTGCCTTTG